GTTAAGGGGTCAAGGAATTCAGCTTGAAATAACTCAGGCTGTGAAGCAATGCCATATTTGTATTAAGATAAAATGCAGCACATAAACCAGCAACAGTTTCAACAGAGACTTCAGTTTTCTCTGACAACACCCCTCATCAGGTACAAAGGACTACATCATGGAAGTCCCAATGGCATTGTGTCTCTGACTGCTTTCTTGGATATACCAAAAATGAATATGCATCTTGAACATGCAACTCACTTTTACATACTGTTGCCTTCTGTGCTGGTTTAAGCCCTGCCGGGGCCAGAGACCACGTTGCTGTTGTCCCTCCCCCACCCTCGGACACAAGTAGGGCACAAACCCAGGGTTAAAATAAGAAGAAATTTAACACAACAGTGTAATAAGCAATCTGAACAACAACAATAGCGATAATAACAACAACAAACAGTAATAACAGTAAACAGGACAAAAGATATGCAGAGAAATACCACAGTGGTTACAGACAGCTCGCCGTGTGCTCCCCAGCACCAAATCCACAAAGGAAAAAGTTCCCACGCTGCTGCGCCCAGACCTGACATCAGCATGGTATGAATAACCCGGCTGGAGATCCCTTCCCCTTCTGGGGAAACTTAACCCTATCCTAGCTGAACCAGGACACCTTCATTTTTAACAAGGACAAACTAGGTTGGTTTTTTTTATTATTTCCAAGAACTGAAGTTTCAAAATCGTTTAGCAGGACAGTCAATGAAGTTAGTCACCTCAGCATTCAGGGGACTCAGGGGATTCACTTGTTCCCTTGCAAGATGTTACAAAGTCTTTATCCAGAATTTTGTATTGGCTTTCATGGAAACGAAGAGTTGGTAATCTGATCTTCTGTGTCTGGTGAGTAGTTAATTGTGTGTACTTTTGACATCTCAGGAAAAAGGTTTTCCCCACATGAAACTCCTGAAAACAATGAATGAAAATTAAATTTCTCTTCCTCAGAAATCACTCATATATGTGTCATGTTCAGCACTGTTTTATTCTACTTTCCCATTTACTTAAGGCAGTGCTATATTTTGGGTTTCAAAAAACTTATATTAGATAAATACAACTACAACTGAATATAGCAAACAAACAGTTTTAAGGAGACATTGTTCAGGCTATAGTGAAGCATGAAAACAAGTCACTCTCCCTGCACATGGAAAGAGTTATTAAAATGGAAAGCCACAACACTGCAGACAACATAATGTCATACCATACCTTAGGCCAGTCTTGCACTATCTGAGCAAGAAAAGTACCTGTTGACGGCACTTTGGAATGAGTCTTTTGCAAGGAGTGTTGTCCTGATAGTGCACTCATTAATTCAAAAAACTCCATAGTGTGAATGTTGACAGATAAGTTTTTAACTACAGGTGAAATCTGGTTTCTTCTGAAAGGTTACAGTTCTCTGGAAAAATAATCATGAGGCATTACCTGCAAGTCTACTAACATATTGAAAGTGTTAGAGAGAGTTAACAATGTGTAGCTGATACAAATTTGAGGAAAAAATTCACCAGTTGCAAATCAACATTTTTGATGCTTTCTCTTTAAAACCTCTAACCAGTTCTAGTCACATCACAAGGACATGGCAATCAATGTTATGCGAGAAAACACACTGAGAAAACAGAGTTAAATGATAAAAAAAAAAAAAAAAAAGAGACTGAAATCAACTGGCTCTTGTAACCAAGAATCCCTGCACAAGACAATGTCCTGTCCACAATGCTATTTCTACCATGGTTACAGGCTCTACAGTGCTGCCTCCATCATGGATGCTTTTCTTGTTTGGGGTTCCCTACAGCTTGGCAGTAGGAAATGAAGGAAACATCTGTTTTCTGTTTTTAAAAGATTGAAACAGGAATAGAAACAATTTCTCCCTGTGATGGTTCAGCCACTTTCCTGATGCCAGTTTTAATTAGCCAACAAACAGAATATCATTAGAAACATATAGCTGTTCCTCACAGCCTGATGAAAAACAGCAGTGGCCCCAGTCCAGCAACATTCAAACATTACTAGATGGATGCCAAAATGTTAGAGGATGGGCTTAAAGTCATAGATTTCTATTTTCATTTTTAAAAAATCTCATCTTGGAGGTTTGTTTCCTCAAAAGGAAACTCATATTTGCTTCAGGGATTCATTATGAACTGCAGACATCCTCCCTTCCATTTTACCAAGGGTCTTCTTCAACATCTCCTCTTATCCTCCTGAGCACTCTCTTACATTTTTACCTCGAGGGGCACATCACACTTCATTGTCTGCAAACACTTCATCACCTGGTGTTCATCATCTAACTCCTGCCTGAGCAACACACCGCCTTTATGCCAGTATCCTCCCTGGGCCTTTGATCATCATCTCTTGCAGATGAGCTCAGTTCTGACACACTCGCTCCGTGCCTGGAACACTGGCAAAACCACTGTCTTTGCTGACATTCAAAGTGATGGACGCTCTTTTTTTTTTTTTTTTTTTTCCTCTGATTCCTGTTCTTCATCTCCATTTGGCTCTACCTTCTCCAATTCAGGACAGTTCATCAATTCAACCATCTTACTCCCTCCTCCATGCTAGTGGTAGACAGGACTGAAGTCCTCCTAGCTGCTGAGTCTCCAAGCAGCACTCTCTGCAATCTAGATGGCCCATCAAGTGGGGAAAAGTTTCCTGTGCACTTCCTCGGTGGGCTGACTTCAGTCCACATGTTTCCCTCATATCCAGAATTTAGTTTAAGAACTACTGACCTCAAAAGTCATGTTTCTGTGTTCCTGGACACAAGTCCTATGTTGCTATTTTTCACCCGCCTCTGAACACCAGCTCTTAGGATACAAAGGTCTTTTCATTCTTTCTTGTTCCCTGACTACATGTCCCCCTTGAAAAGGGAAATGGAAGATTACATGGAATCAAGAGAAATGTTGGTAGCCATAAGAATCTGGCCACAAAAAAGAAAAACTTAAAAGGTCTGAGGTCTCTAGAGAAAGTCCACTGTACACAGACTACTTATTTCACCTGTGCAGAGACCAGCACTTAGCCAAATGTATTATCAGCCTAGTACTATGACACTAAATACATAATACCTCTCAAAATGTCGCTAAGTACATAGCTCAAATCAGTTATAGTCAGGATCTTCTATGTTGATCTGCAAGCCAAACTCCTACGTCAAGACAGCAAAATCAGCTGTGACCTTCTGGTAATAGGTAGTTGACATTTTCCTCACTGATGTGATGACAGGTAATCAGAGGCATAAAAATCTCCTGGTGATTTCATCAGTCTCACCTATACCACAGGCAAGGCATTATCTCTGTTACTGCTGAAGAGGCCTCAAGAAGGCCCCTATGTGTGGTATGTAGCACAGTCCCAAAGAATAATGAGAGGCAGGGCAGCTCTGCTCCTCTGCAGCTAGTGACCTGCAGCTGGTTGCATCTCAGTCCTCTGAGCAGACAACTTGCTGAATACACGCTAGCAATGGGATGCCAACAAAAACAAGGACATTTGCCACTGTTATTTCACATTTTCATGTGATTCCTCACATAATTCTGCATGACTACTATTCTCAGTTGTACTTTTCATTTGCATGTGTTGAATCCCAGTGCCACCCATCGTTCCTGGTGGGCTGGGAACTCTTCAAGTGCCTGGGGGGACAGTATGTAGAAAACAGAAACAAACAGTGCCAAGCAAGACATACATGTACCTTTAATGTGGTCGCCAAGAGCTTTTAGACCTTTCCACCAGCTTCAACTTCAATCACCTTCCATGTTGCAATGTTGGCAAATCCACACATTTACATCTGCTGTTTCAGAAAGTGCAGAGAATCTACACAGCACTAAGAAATATAGGTGTAAGTATGTCACCTCCATCTCCCACCTTCATTTGCCTCCCATATTCAATATAAAGACCATCAGTTTGCTGGGATGGTAAATGTAGCCCAGATATTACTGATTACTGAAGACAAATACTTTCTGGTATGACTATTCCTCCCCATTTTAATTGTTCATTTCCTTGCATAGATGTGAACAGCAGTCTGGCCTTTTAACACTGGTAATTCATGACAGACTTTTTTTTGTATCTTATGGAGTGGACCACCCATACATATTGCATTTTGTAGTCCCTATTTCTGGGGATTTTCACTTTCCTCCTGTTAGCCTGTGTATTCTGAAGTATTCTAGACAAAAGTTACCAATAATTTCTGCTGAGATTTTATAAGAATTCGTAGTGGTCTTTTTGCATTTGTTTACTCCATATAAATCAAAATATACCATGGAAGAACACAGTGCCACTATTCACATATATTAGTTAAATGCACTGAAAATTTACACTAAATGATGTATTAATGTTAGAGAAATGTGTCTGTCCTGAATAATTTAAAATCCAAATAGAGGTGTAGCTAAAGATCTTATACAATGTCTGTAGTATCCTTTTCTTGTGAGAAAAAAAAAAAAAGAAAAAAAGTTTTCATTAAGTGAGAGACATATATAAAGCTGCCATAACATGGAGCAGAAAAATACTAAGTTTCCAGAATAATAATTAGGGGATAATGAGCTTTCTTTGAGAAACTGCCATTTCAGAAATCACTTTTGGAGAAAACTAGGCAACTGAGTTCAGTGGGCCAACTCTACGCAGTCTTTGATTACATGTTTAAGTATTTGGATGTTCATACTTAGATGACATTGTAATGAAAAAAAATCAAACTGACATCTTTGTAATTCCAGTTGCAATATAATGAAAGAAAACTGCCAAGAATTTAATCTCCTTTACAAAGGTAATTTACCATTTTTAGAAAAGAAACCTCTCCTATAACCCAAAACTACCTTGTCAGAAATCACTTATGCATACAGTAGAATGAAAATCCCTTACACTCAGACAAAAGCAGTAGTAACCCAGAAGCCAAACAAAACTGTTACTATGGTTTAAATAATTGCCCACAATCTGGTGGGTGATGAGATTTTTCCTTCAGAGCTGGGAAGCAGCAGGCTGTGAGCATGCTCAGTGCCACACGTAGCCAAACTGGTGATTTCCTTATGAGAGCAGCTGCTAAGATGTCCAGAGCGTAAGTACTGCTCGATGGCCATAAACATACTATTGCCCTTCTCTTAATCCTCCTGACTGCAGACTGTCAGCAATGCTATTTCTGCTCCATTTTGTTCCTCTGTTAGAAATTCAAGGTAAGAACCACTTCTTTCTTAATTCTTTATAAACCTGATTGCCCTTTGGGACACAGTAAGGAATTTTCTATTACATTAAGGAATTAACAAGGAATTTCACCTAAAGTAAAGAATCAATAAGGAATTTTCATTTACATTATTTTGAAAAACATTGTTAGAAAAAAAAATGTTTACAAGCACATGAGGATTTCATAAAATTACAGGATTGTCTAACCAGGTTACTTTAAATTTTGATGAAATGAAATTAATTGAATGTAAGACTAAAGGATAAACTGATGCTTTTTGGAAAAATACTTAAGGTAATAAAACATTGCTGCAAATGGCAAGTTTCACACCAGTATCATAACACAATTTCTACATATTGGGTGAAAAAAACAAACATTTAACTTAGCAACTGAGTTTTCATAAATATTTCTCTACTGCAATAAAAATTATGGTAAATTAGCCAAGAAAATCCTTTCAGTATTTCAATATTTCAGTAAAATTGGAATTACACGTGTGGTAGAGCACTTTGAATCTCAGAAGTGATTGCCTAAAAGATTGCTTCTATAATAAAAGTTCTTTCCCATAGAAACACTGTATATAACAATATAGAAGCAGAAGCTACAGTATGTCATTTATACAAATTTTTCAAAATTAAGACTTCTCAGTTCCTGCACGTTTTTTAAAATAATTACTAGTTTTCTGCTGCTTAGTAATTCCTGAAGCATTACAGAAAAGTGAATAAATGGGTTTTATTTTAATTAGCTCATGAATGCTAATTTCTCAGCTTGTAAAAAGTTCTTTAATGAAATAGCATTTTGTTTTCTAATAATGCATAAAGGGCAGGTTACAGTGTAACCAAAATAAGAAACTGAAACAGAAACAATATAACTCTGAGCAAAATAATCTTTTAATTACTAGCTTGTTAGAGACAGAAAATAACTATTAGAGAATATATTGTTCTGTAGAGAATCTGTTACAAAGGAGTGGAATATGCAGGATTTTAATGTATTGAATGTTACTAAATACTCTATTTGAAAATAACTATTTTAAATCACTATGTTTTGTTGTCATTGAAGGAAATGTTACTCATGTAAAGTTTTTATTTTAACATAAACTTTATTTTATTATATTTCCAACAGTTGGTTTAAGACAATGTCATTAATAAAAACCATACAATGACTGACCTTTTCATTACACAGATTAATATATTTCTTTCATTGTCACAAATTTGTTTAGCAGAAACAAAACTTGGAAATAGTTTATTACCAAAACAACCCTTACTATGTTTCCTATTTACACACCATGAAATTTATCTTTATTTTGAACTGCTAGAAAAAAAATACAAATATCCAGCTTACCATTCTTTCAAATGTTATTTTTCCATATACTCTCTACCAATAGTAGACAATAGGACTTGAAACAATTGTGCCATAAATTGTCTTGGTTAAAAGCAACCTCTTTGCTCCCTTTAGCCAAACCAGACTAGGTCAGGCTACACCAGAGAGGGATTGAACCCAAGATGACTGGACACTCTGAGACAGTGCTGCCTCCATCCTAAACAGTTTCCAGCTCAAAAGCCTTGGATAACAACAGGTACAAGTGAAAATCGTGGGGAAGGAGACATGTATCAGAGAGATTTTTCCTGCAGCCCTCACATAACTGTGTTCCAAGCAGTACAGAAATATGAAGAGAATGACTGACTGATCAGCTCCTCTCTTGCCCTGTCCTTTTAAATGTGTCTACAAATGTACATGTTCAGTACAGCAGCTGCAGCAATGTCAGAGGACACAGTTAAGTCTGGGAAACCCACATCTGCTGCATGTTTCTGGGGAAAATATCTGTAGTGTAGAATGGGTATTGATTACAGACTGTAGGCTTCACTAGGTATGTACTGTACAACTCCTAGAACACACATATGAGTCCACTCCAAAAGAGTGGAAAACATCACTCGATTATAAATACTGTTGATATCTGAATGGCTATTTAACCTTCAAAAAGTGCCTTTAGTATGAATAAACTGACGCTGTATAAAAAGATGGTATTTTACTGCCCTCTTACGGCTGGCGATGAGCAGCTTTTTTTTTTTTTTTTTTTTTTTTTTTTTTATTCCCCAAAAAAGTCTCTCCAACAGGCCACTGTGACACAAAGTCTTCCAACCAGAAAAAAACCTCCACACAACTATCCTCACGTGCCAAGACCTGTGGAAAGCAATTATACATCATCCTGGGCATGTTGGGGAAATGAAACTGGCATGCAACTGAGCGGAAAGAGGGCTATTCAAATCAGAGCTGGAAGTTTGTATCTGACACGAGTTAGCCAAACCCTGTCCAAAACACTACTGACTGAAATTTCAGAATAAGTCTCCTGAACTGATAAGCCCAGGAGGATGTTCTAACTTTAACAGCAGTTGCAGAATTTTTATATCTCTGCCTAGAGATTCCATGTGACAAATTTTAAGATAAAATATTTAAATCCACACTTTTAAGCCTTTTATTTTTATAATAAACTGCTGTTCACAGCAACTATAGGACCTTTTCAGTGAGTAACTGCTTCTCAATGTCAGAAAGGGATTTTAGAGTCCAGACCGTAATACCAATGCAGGCTAATGATCACTTGAGTTGTTCAGGTCAGTATAAAAACTCCGCTATTTTAAATGTAACAATCAATCATATTTAAGTGTCATACAACTACTGAGCATAATTTATAGTGTGACTCACTTTTTAACCAAGGAAAAGAATAACCTGGTAAAGGATCCTTTCATTTCAAGAAGAGCGTTCAGGGGTGTTGTTTTCTTGTGGAACACTGTGGATGAAGATTCTGTGACTGTAGTAAATGCAGGAACCCTGAAGCAAGCATATTTTAGATTAATGTGAAAACTTGATGACTAGTGTCTTTTTCCTGTAGATTTTATAAATTTATAGTTTATAAATCTGCTTATAAACAGACAGTATCTAATTTTCATTGTTGCTCTAATCCTGCTCACTCTTCAGGCCATTATATGGATGTTTCATGTGGACAATCCACAGCATTTTAAAAATTTCATTACAATAGTTCTTGCAGTTCACCAATAATCTCTTCAACCTGCAGTTTGAACCTATTAAGTTAGGTTTTTTCCAGGAAAAATTTGATATAAACCCAAGTCTTTTGTTTCCAAGCTAGAAAAATCATACTGGTGAAAAAGAATTGTTATGAAAACTTAACTCTGTGCACAAGTAAATAATTTTGTGTATGTTTTAGCATGTGTCTTCACAGAAACAGAATCCAGAAATGTAAAGATTTCTCTTCCATTTTCCAAATTTTTAAAATATTTTTAAGTGCTTATGATTCACTTGACTGACTTGGTTGTTTCTTTTCATTTCTTCCTTCTTAAGCAGTATGTGAACTTAGCAACAGCTGCACTCCCACTGAGCTCTCAGTCAACAACATTTCAGAGATTTTGAAGCTAAGTAAAGCAAACTGGCCTGTCTGCTCTCACAGTGACCTGAAAGCAGTAATAATAGGATGGAAAAAAAAAAAAAAAAAAGTTATCATCTGAAATGTGCCTTAATTACATGTGCTACTACAGCTTCAAGCAGTATTGATTCAACAAGGGGCTGTCTTTCACTAAACCAGTTTTAACCAGTGCTGAAGTCTCTGGATCTGTCTTATTGCAAAGGAGAGCTTTTGCACAACTTGGACATTTGTAGGAAATGTTTCAATTTTTCTGCTTTAAACAAAATTAACTTTTCTTAAAACCGCAGTCACTGAAAGAGACAACATTCTTTGCTTGCAACTAACAAGTTTGCAATCAATTTATAGACTTGTTTCATTAGTGTACATTGAATAACCATGATGTGCACGTTGCGTAAACGTAGCTGATCCTCAGTAATACATGGTGTGGTTTGGTCGATTTTTGCAACTCAGAAATTTATGGTGATAAATAGGGGAAATTTAGTAGTAAGTAGAGAATGAGCAACTCCACTGTAGTCAGAAATGTAAAACCTGAATTTTATCACATGGTAAATAAAGAACTGCTTTTATGGCATTATTGCCTTAAAAGAGAAGCCTCTGCTTTTATATCTTTCTATTCATCAGCCAAAGTGCTGTCTGTGGGGTAGTAATCACAAGTCTTACGGACCCATTCCACATCACACTGCAGATGTTGATGAGAATGGATGTGGAAACCCAGCAGATGATACCATTGTTTGGGTGTCAGCATTACTGGAAAGTGTGTCAGGAGCAACCGCAGCCATCACAGCAGTAAATGCACTGCGCTGGATAAAAGAACAAATTAAGACAAGATAAAATGAATTTAGAGACTCAAAGACAAAACCAAAAGAGCAAGGCCTTTATGTTTGGATAATAACTGGTTTCTTATCTGCAAGGGCGATTAACTGAATGCTGAGAGTGAAGAGAGTCTCAGGATTCATTCTCAGCTCTGCTATCTCACATGTATTCTGTTGTAGCTCTGCTTCTCTTGAGAGGTCATGGACACACTGTTCTTTAAAAGGGACTGTCAGACCATACTGAACATATACACGTACTTTGAAAAAATGTTTTTTCTGTCCCTGAATTAATACAAAAAGAAAGCTTTTTCCAGTCCAACCTTTGTGCAATACCTGATACATGAAAAAATGAGTTACAACTAAAAATACTGGCACTACCATAAGGACTTTGATGAAAACAACAAACTAGCAGAGTCTAACTGTAACATTATTCAGAATACTGATATACAAAGATCTATACTTTAACCAGTTAAACTACCTTTTTTTATCCACATAGTAGATCCCCAAAAAAAAGCCTTCAGAAAAGCTAGCCTAAACTGCATGCATTTTTAAAGTTTTGTAGCAAGAAAATGTTAGAGGTATTTCACTTGAAAGGCAAGGCATATCTTGACAAGATTTCCAAATTTAATCTAATCTGGATCTCAAAACTGAGTTTGTAATCAGCTGTGTATTTCATCTCCTATCATCATGTCTCAACCTTCTTTTTTTGCATCATATGAAAAGCGGTATTGTTAGGACAGTGTTAGTTAGATAAGACTAAAATATACCCATTTTTCAAAGATTACCATTTAGCTGAATTTCTGCTCTTTCCATCCTTGCTGATACTATGTATCCCCTAACTGTCAATCCATCTAATAGGAAATGGATTACTTCACTTTCTTCCTCCCTACATAGTTTTAGCCTACAAGTTTCATTTTAATCTTCTTTATAATTCCCTAGGAGTCTCATGTGTCTCGTGTGTCTACAGTCAGCATGTCTGTTTTTGCAAGGTGGGTCCATATACATTTCTACCTGTTCAACTAAGATTATAATCAAATTCCCTTTGTCAAATTTTAACTTCACTTTTCAAAGATCTTGTTAATGAGTAAAACCAGAATCATCTCTGTACAATACGAAGAACTTTCCTGTTCTGTTTGGTTTGCTTTTTTAAGTTTTAGCATTCTTTCATTAGGTTTTCTTGGCCATAAAATCTCCTGTAAACTTTGAAAGGGAAAAGGTGTTTTTGCAAATGGACATAAGCTCCGTACCTGTAATGAAACAAGAGAGCAGATTTCCTGCAAATGAGGAAGTCAGATCAGTGAGACCGATATCCTTTTTTGGCTAATAAACGATCCCTGCTTTGGAGCATCACCTCTACATGACATTTGACTTCTTCTGTGACTCTGAAGCATGTTGAGTCAGAAGATAATGTGACAACTCCGCTGTCATCTCCTGCTCTGTATCCTCCCTCCCCACCTCCCTCTTAGTGAGGTTCTTACCTCACTTTCACTTCCTTCTTTCTAGGTATTTCAAATCATCCTCCTGTGCCTCTTTCCTTTTCCATTACCATCACCCCTCAGCTACCATCTTTGGATGTGGTCATTTGTGCTTATAACTTTCCACACTGCACCTTTCCTACTTAGTATTCACTTACGTGTCAGTGCTATTACTAGCTCCAAACTGCACTCTGGTGTACTAGCATGGCTTGCCCCAAAGATTGAAATTGTCCATATGAAATAGAGATTCCTACCTTCTGCCAATCTATTAAAATAAAATAAATGTCTAAAGTTTATAAATTTTAACTGATTTTCTCTCAAATCTCATATAACTTGTACAATAGCCTATACATTTAGCTGGTCTAGGAATTATCTGTTCTCAAAATTTTCCGTGGTTTTGCCTGAAATTTGAGATCAGCAAACATATTAATTTACTGAAGCTGGTGTAAACTTTCTGGTTTTTACTGACTCACTTTCTGACTTACGGTCTTGGCCTAGAACACTTCCATTATCATGTGTAGATTTCCACGGTAAATAGTTGGTAACTCTCTATGCTATACCATGTACTGCAGTATGAGTTTCTCCACTACATTAATCATTCTGCTTCAGCATTCAGTTCTTTTTATCAACACATCTTCTAATAATATTTTATATTAACATTAAATTTATCTATTTCTTTCTCTCTCTTTCTCTGCCATGCTTATAGTCTAGTATACTTCTGATGTTAAATTTACATGAGATTTCTTAATTTAGGCTTATAATTGCTCTTCATAATCAGCAGAAAAGACAATAAAAACAATCCATTTGAATATTTAATTTTACTTCCATCCATATAAGAAAACACATACACCCC